GCACCTTTCCCTGGAATGTGATTACTAAACCCACCTATCCCAGGAATGGCAATAACTTACTGTAAATGTGACATGGCCCCAACCCAGAAGGAACACCTTGTATGGACATATACATTGACTAACCAACCAGCTCTCGCCCAGTACCCCAAGCCCTCATGCCTTCCTCATTCTCCTTAAAAGAGTTCTTAATGTTGCACGGGCTGCTGCTCTCCCTTTGCGAGATAACCCGGCAGGTCTTTCCTCTAATAAAGCCTGTGTCACCTGGTTTTCGGCCTCCAACTGATCTTTCAGTGTCAAACTAAAACAAACCAAAAGCACCTCTACCCATTTCTCAAACCTAGTCTGAACATTTCTCTCTCTGACCATAGTATTGTTATTGCCGGAGTTAGCTGGTTAATATTAATAAAGGGAAAAAGCAAAGGGGAGGCCAGACACCATAAGCATGATCATCTGGGAACCACCAGTCCACTCCCTGCAGGTCCCTGAGGGAAGGGATAGAGCACAGGGGGAGATGGGCGCATGTGCACAAGTTGGGGAGGGGGTGCAGGGGGGATGCTTGCCTGTCAGTCTAGCCTGGGGAACAATGGATTGGCTATGGAGTGACCCCATCAGAAGCATGTGAAATCTTGAAGAGTTAATTGTTTTGAAGAAGTTCCTGATTAAAACCCCAGACAAAGAGTTCCCTCTCTCTTGTTCGTTCTTGTTCTCTTTCTCTCTCTCTTGTTCTGTGACCCGCACTCGGCCGTGTGCTCCCATTCTCTCTCCAGCAGCCCCATGGCCCATGCTGTGCTGACCCCACACACAATGGACCCAGCTGGGAACACAGCTAAGCTAGCCAGGAGCTGGACTGAACTTTAACATGGAACAGAAATTCTGGGCAGTGACCTTGATCCTAGCCCTGCTGAAGGCAAGATTGGACTTCTTCCATGGCAAGTTGGACACAGATGGGACCTTGGAGAGCAACCCGTTAATTTTACATCAATAAATCTCTCCATTCGAAGAAACCCCATCTTCCCGGGGAAGCCTCAAGAAATTCTTTTCCTCATGGCACACCAAGAACCCCACTTCCACCGATAACAGTATCTTCTTATTCACCCCCTGGCCCCTGGTTAGAACTTACCAGTTGTATATTGTCTTGTCTTATAGAGAAAGGCTCCAATGGGTAGAGCTCCTTCCAATCTCCAGACTGCCTGAGGTCAGGCCAAATCCAAAGAACAGAGAAGTGCGACTCCACTGGTCGTGGTTTCTTCCCACCAGCAGGTCCCTGACTCAAGTTCCAGGGCAATATCCTGTATCAAGCAGCAGATGAGGCTCTCACCTCCTCCAGACCAGGTCTGGGGCTGAGCTCTGGATCACAGTCTTACCTCTCAAGTCCTCTCAGCCGAGGCTACAGAGTGAAGTCTGGCAGGATTTCTATATATACTGTGTCTGCCAGGCTGTCCCACAGCACAGTAGATAGGATCTCCAGAAGCAGGGTGTGTCTATTCCTGACCTGGAGAACAGTCTGAGCAAGTGTGATTTCATAAGTTCGTTCATGGCAGAGACATTGCTGGAACAACTTAAACACACTGTGTAAGATGTGGCTGTGTGTCAGC